TAAAGCATTTCAACTAACAAGACGTTCTTTTCTTTACACAAGTCTACCAAAGTTAATAACCCTCAAGATACTTTGGTTTACTAGATAGATATGATGCAAACAATGTTCTTATACTTAATTTTTCATAATTCAACTCAGTTAAAAGTTCCTATTATGAACAAAATTTCTTTTAAGGTATAATTGTATCCTATATATGAAAAACTTTGATATGTGAAATCTGGGACTTTTAATATTAAGTCCCAGGTAAAAACAAGTTAATTTGCATTTATTTTAATTCATACTCGTGTACATTAAAAACTCTAAAGAACTTCTTGATAATTTTAAATCTCGATCTTTCTCTGAATTCTATCATAACTTTTGATTTTTCAACCCTGTATACCATCATTCCCATGTGAAATTGAAAAATCGTCTTAAAGAAATAATCCACAAATGCTTTTCAATATAAAAATGACAGCATACGCTATAAATTTATTGCTTTGGGATACCATACAGCGTATTTTGTTAATAGTGAACAAAAAGGTAAACATGCTACACAGAGGAACAATTGATCAGTATGCTGGAGTTTCTCATTGACAACATATTTGTTGAATTTGGAGGTAGACTTTTTTAGCAAGTTGTCGGCATTCTTATGGGAACGAACTGTGCGCCTCTCCTTGCTGACCTCTTTCTATTTTCACATGAGTCGGAGTTCCTTCAGACACTTGTCAAAAACAAATAAATCAAAGAAGCCCGTACATTTAAATTAACATTCATATATATTGATGATGTTCTGTCCATTAACAATCCAAACTTTTCTGATTGGGTTCCATTAATATATCCTCCAGAACTAGAAATTAAAGAAACAACAGACACGGCTTCTTCCGCCTCATTTTTAGACTTAAATCTCGAATTTGACATAAGTGGTCATCTCAATACCAGAAACAAGCGAGACGATTTTAATTTTGAAATTATACATTTTCCCCATCTTAGCATCAATTTACCAACTTCACCTGCATATGGGATATACATTTTCCAACTTATTCGGTATTCAAGAGCTTGCAGCTGCTACTCAGACTTTATTAAACGTCACCAGTGTCTGTGCAGAAAGTTGATGAGCCAAGGTTATGTCAAAGAGCGTCTCGTCCTGTTTCTAAAAAAAGTTCATTGGAAGATACCAAGACCTTGTTGATAAATTTTCCGTATCAACTTCACAAATAATACATGATGGTCTTGAAGTATAGAGTCTAGGTACTGACGTTGTTAATCGTCCTAATTACGTGTTAAAGTTCCTTTTTTTTTTGTCCTTGTATATTTTTAACCTTTACTGTTTATCCATTTTGATTATATACTTATGACGTGGATTGGTATTTATGCATCCCGCCTTTGTGTTATTGTGCTATGGTGAATATTGAGTTCTTGTCTTTCATTTTTTGCTTATGTACTTTGTCTATATGCCATTTTGTGTTTCTTTGTTGAAACAGTGATTTTTTTTTTATAGTGATTAAGATTATATTACAATGTTGACTGCTGTACCCCAATTTTTGATGTTTTTTTTCCTATTATGTCTGTTTGTTTTGCTCACACATTGTTTTCAATATAATGGAATTCTATGCGACTGTCATACAAGTGAGAGGTTTAGCTAGCTATAAAATCAGGTTTAATCCACCTTTTTTGTACCAAGTCAGGAATATAACAGTTGTTTTCCATTCGTTTGATGTGTTTGAGCTTTTTATTTTGCCATGTTATAAAGGCATTTTTGTTATTTTACTTTTTAAGTAATTACATTGACCTCCACACTGGACACAAGATGAGTGCATGTTATTTTTAGATCTTAAAGGTTCGAGTTGTCAGTTCTTACTTTTTCACCAAAGTTTCAGAGGATCAGGTCCTAGTTCCCTCGTAAGTTATAGACAGCAAATATAGAAAGTATATCCTCTTCTTCCTTGAGTTCTGGTTGGAGTGGTTACTAGTATTTCATTTTCTTACATGAAGAGAAAATATCTACTTTTAGTATTTCATTTTCTTACATGAAGAGAAAATATCTACTTTCTGTTGGTAGTTGTCAATAACTCTAGGCGCTTTAAATCTTCAATTCAAGAGTTCTCTTTCTACATTTTCTTTTTTCTTTCTATCTCAGACAAAGTACCAAGACGAGGGTTGTTTAGCCTTAAGGCTAACCAGAAGGTTAAAAGAAATGGGAGTATTAGATTAATTCTGCTTGGTAATAAAGACATTTCCCTTTTTGGAATTAAAAAAAAATACCTCACGAAGAAGAGGAGGCAACTGACCTCTGGTCATTACTAACCTGGACATTTACTTAGACTGGCGGATTTAAGCTCAGTTTCTCTTGAACCTTTGACAAATATAACCCAAAGATCGTCAGAAGAGTCATTATGATTTTTGCGAACCTTATATTCCTTTTAAATCTTAGCCCTCTACGATAGGGTGCAATTGGCAAGATAATCAAATTTAAAAGTGAGAAGCACTTGAAATGCTTATTCAAGTTAAAGTAAAAAAACTATTTAATTCAGCTGGAACGACACAATCTTGGCCCTTCAGTAAAAAACCTTAAGCAGCTAAGAAGTCTTCGGCTGTGCTATGAGCACGAGAAACACTACGAAGGATAAATCTTAGCCCAAACTGATTGAAATTGACCGTCAATAGGCTTAAGACTACAACCGGGAATAAAAAAACCTATCACAGTCAGTGACCAATTATACACATAGAGTAGAGTTAAAGATATCATAGTCTTTAATTTTTATAATGGTCCGAAACAGAAGTAATACCACACCATGATGTTTGTTAGTTACTTTTTGCCCTGACAAATTACTGATTTAGTAATCATGTCATTGGACTCCAGTAAGGAAAAGTGCGCATTTTCAGATTCTTTGAAAAAACCACACCTCAAAATTAGATGAAAACCTAGGTGTAGGAGGGGAGGCAAACGGAATATTGGCTATGTCTGTCATGGATATGTATACCTAATTCCGATGATCATTAATTTAAGGGTCACTCCGAGATCCATCCTCAAACGATGGTTGTACAGAAGATCGGTTGATTGTTGGTTGATTAATGTCCAGTGGTTGTGCAGAAGGTTCAGTGGCATTTTTTTAATGTCTGTGAAGTAGAATGGAACCCATTTTCCTCTTCTGTGAGGAAAACTCTCCGGAACAGCATAAAGCTCATTTCATCCTCTTCCTCGTCACATCTTCAACAGACTTAAAAACGGGGGAAATATGAGAAGTAGAACGGTCTTCTAGAAGAGAAATATGACTAGACAAATTATTGATATCTCTATTCAGACTTCTCAAAATCAGAAAGCACTCTCCTATAATTATCAAGACAAGTGGGGGCTCCCGAACTAACAGGGTATTAGCAGAAACACACCTGAACTGAACTGACACGTCGTGACTACTGCTATTAGCAGTGGCAAAAGCAGAATTAGTAGGAGATTAGGTAGGTGCCACTACGGGAGGACAGAAAAACATGTTCATGTCCCAAAAAAGCAAAAAAAACAGGGAACACTGCTAGTCAGATGGATACCCCGCATACGGGAACGATTATGGCCAAGGAGGTCTTGAACAAGAAGTCCTGATTTGGAAGCCCTGAAGTGGGTAACATATAACCACAGAAAGATGAGGATGGTCTTGAGTCAGGAAGATTTATACCAATACATGTACATAATTTAAAGTAACAGACAGAATAACTACCCTAGAAACAGCGTGTCACTGGAGATATAGTAGGAATACCACTTGAGTGCCTTTCATTGCCTTCTGTTCTGAAGGTGTTACCAGACACCTTATCGAAACTCAAGTAGTTTCAATGGAGCTATAAGTAAAATAATCATACTCGGAAAAGGAAGTGATATAGATATAAGTGAATGGACGACTTGCATTTAAGTCTGTTGAATTACTTGTACAAATTGCTGTAAATACGGTTAAGGGGATACAAAATATTTTTTTAATTACTGTAACTTGACTGTACGTGTTGCTCTCCACCTATTGCAGTTTTTTTTAAATTCTGACAAAAATTGCAATTTATTTTATCAAACCAAACTGTTGAACTGGTCAGAAATTTTAACAAACTGCTGTAGAAAAACACAGTCAAGTGGTGAAAGTGCAAGGTGATAAAAAAAGCATACTTACAACCCTATAAGTCTTTGATTCCACTTTATTGATATTATGAAAAATCAGTTTAACAATTTCTATACAAATTTTATTGTAATTGTCATGCAAAAGGTGATAGGTAGTAATTTTTGAATTTCTATAAAAATGTCCTTATTTAAAATTTATATTTTATTAGTGGAACAGCATCCAATTATAACAAGATAAGCATTCAAACATCAGTGCAAATGGGTAATTCAGAAAGCTTGGACAGATCTGCTTGAAACTGAAAGTGCAAATAAGTAAATTCTAAAATACATAAACTTTAAGGAACTCGCCATTGGTAAGCCCCACTTAGTCTGGAAATCTCTGCGCTCAATGGTATCAGAAGTAAAGATGTGAATCACAAAAGCTAGGATGCTCACTGGCACATTTATAACTCAAACAACCAAATACAAATCTAATAAAGAACACTCAGATCACATCTGCCAGCTTTGTGCGATATATTCAGAAAATATCAAACATATTCTGTTTGAATGTCGAGCACTATTTACTGTTAGATAATTACACTACAGCGGATTAAAAGTGGAAGTTATTAATTTGATTGGTGAAAGGAAATGGCTTGAACTTTTTGGAAACCAAGAATCTATCTAGCTTCTGATTTTTGACTGCTCAAAGTGAATACTTAGGTACAGAACAACTAACAGATATTACAAAACTAGCTACCTGAGAGAACCTATGGATCTTTTATTTGAGCTGTATGAAAGTAATTATGATGGTTGTAAGTTGTTTGATTGGAGGTGAAAAAATGTGTGTATTGTGCCACCTAAAATTCCAGATAAATACAATAAGTGTTTTAGTTTTTAGGTTTTTGGTTGAGCCCAAAATCATTTTTGTAGGTCTCAGGTATGCTAAACATTTTAATAATTAACTGTTTATTGAAAAAAACATTAACAAACATTAACACTATACACTATACAATCTATTTTTTTATATCAGTCACAAATTCTCCCTCCTCTGGTTGACCATCAAAACTGTGACCAAAAACTTGTTCATATATATCCATCTCCTTCTCAGTTAAAAGCAAACCAACTAAAAAATTAGAAAACAGTAACACGCTTAATGTTGCTCCAAATGGAAATGTTGTTTTAATCATTTTAAACACCAAAGATCCTTGCGAGATACTGGGCACAGAATATGTATAATGATTTCTTGCATGTATTATACATAATAATGATGAAATAATTATGGGGTACAAGACACCTCCTATTATTTGCAAGGTTCCACCACGTGTACCTAAACATAAAGAGCAAGAATTATAGCCTTTCAGAATTGGTTCAGTAACTAATGTGCTATGTAAAGCATAGGGAACAACAGCTCCAATGAAACCTGTCATTCCATAGGTATGTCCAAGGGATAAGTTTTTTAGACTGAACACTTTACGGTAATGATGATTGATAAGTAGTGCAGACATGAATCCAGTTGATCCAGTAACAACATGGTTAAATGCTAATGGCCATCTGAAATAATAAAATTAGCAAAATTTACATATTCATTATTGGTATCCTTTTTCTTTCTAAGAAATGTATTCAGTTACTTCCCTTTACCAATTAAATGCTATTTTAGCTTGCTAGTTATTAATTGGTGTTGCATGCAGAAACAGGATTTGCCTACCCTTCAGAACATTTGAAATCACGTTAAGAGTGGAGTCTGTGTTGTCAATTTTAACTTTTTATCTTAGTTATCTTTCTTGATTCAATGTTTTTTTCTCATTTCTGTTTCTTTCAAATTGTCTCATACTATAACATAGCTTGGTAATCACTTGGGTTTTTCTTTAGTAATGATGTGTATATGAGATATAAGTAACATATATTACTAAGAAATAGAAATTAATGAAATATAGAAACTATTCAACACTGCTCATCCTATAAGAATCATAGTTGTCATGTTGCTTTATACATGCTTAGTGAAGAACTTCAAGAAGGGGTGTATATTGAGTTATGCCCCTGATTAGTTAAGCAGGGTGGTATGGCACCTTGTGGTACAATTTCATAGAGATCCATACACTTATTCACAAGTTATTGTCTTGAAACAAGAAAAATGCTTGTTACTGTCCCCTTTTTGGTCCCTGATTCCTAAACAGTGAGAACTTGTTTAGGGGGATATCAATATCCCATATCCCTATAATGTTTACCCCTAATATCCCAATAAATATTTTTTACAAATATCCCGTATCCCTAAAACTATTTTGAAATATCCCAAAAAATCATTAATTCATTCCCAAACCCATTTTTGTATACATCATTCGTAAATACATGTTGTATGCATTGTAGTAAGGATGTGGGCTTTTTCACAGTTAAATTAGAAAAGTTAATTATTTATTTGACATATAAACAAGAGGCACAACTCTGTCTTTATCGCTCACCTGATGAAAAAAAAAAATCACCAGTTTGCTAATGAGGACTTTGATATGCACATAATTTAGTTACTCTTTCTGTTGCTGATCATTTTTGCAATTTACATGCTTAACCTAGCTCCTATATATAGGTTTTTAGAAATCAAAAAAGCCAAAACTTCAAAAACAGTTAAAATCAACATTTCAGGGGGAATACTTCTAAAACTTGTTGCCAAAAATATCATAGTAAATAGGTCTTGTTATGCTGATAATTATTTTTTTTTTATTTACACTTTTAATCTAGCTCATATATTTTTCATGATAACAGCCAACAACTGCTAAAAATTATAAAAATAGACATTTCAGGGGCAATAACTCAAAAACAAGTGGTTAGATTTTTCGAAAATTTTCAGGGTGGATACATGTCATCATGTTGATCATTTTCCCAAATTAAACTTTTTAATCTAGCTCCTATATTTGAAAAATAAAATAGCAGGGATATGTCAAACAAGGGCAATAACTCCTTTGAGAGCTCGATTGGCCAATTTCGGTCATGATAACTTATTTGTAGGTCTTATTTTATAAAGATCTTTGCCATTTAATGTTTATCCATGTCCAACATAGTTTCTCCAAAAGATTTAAACTTTTGGTAAATAATCTTTCAAGGGCAATAACTCCTATAAAGGATCAGTTGACCAGTTTGGTCATGTTTACTTATTCGTAGATCTAATTTTGTTGAACATTTTTGTCACTTAAAGTTTCCCTTCATCTATTATAGTTTCTAAAAAAAACTTGAAAATTTGATTAAAAAAAATGCTTTTCAAGCCAATAACTCCTTTAAGGGATAAATTTACAATTTCGGTCAGTTAACTTAGTTGTAGATCTCAACTTGCTGGCCATTTTTGCTCTTCAAAATTTCTCTTTATCAGCATTTAAGATAATAATAAAAACAACTAAATAAAAAAAAACAGAGATATTTCGTAAAATTTATAATTCCAGATGCAATAACTGCAAATAGGGTTGTCCAATTGGTTTGAAAAATTACATGGCAGATAAATCTTAACATGCTTATCATTTTTACCCTTATAAAAATAAGGAGATGAGGTATGATTGCCAATGAGACAACTATCCACCAAAGTTCAAATAAAGTGAATGTAAACAATTATAGGCAACCATACGGCCTTCAACAATGAGAAAAACTCATACCGTATAGTCGGCTATAAAAGGCCCCAACATGAAAAATATGAAACAATTCAATTGCTGAGAAAACTAACGGCCTATTTTTGGCAATTTTTTCAAGTGAGATGTAACTATTTCTGTACTTTACTTTTAAATTCCACATTTTTTTTTTCATGTTCAATATTCAGTATCCCTTAAAATGCATCAATATCCCATATCCCATTCATTTTTAGGACAAATATCCCATATTCCTAAAATTAAAATGGCAAATATCCCGTATCCCAATATACCCAATACAAGCCTCAACAGTTAGGACAATAACCCCCAAAATTAATCCCTACCTTCCTTTTGTGGTAAGGAACCTTGTGGTACAATTACATAGAGATCTATACACTTTTACTCAAGTTTTTGTCTGGAAACCAAATGTCAACAACACAGACACAGACAACAACATTGCCATACCATTATACGGCTGCAAAAATTTTGCTGTCAAATAGAAACCACACAATAATTTACAGAAGCTATAAACCATGAACTTTGTCAAATCAATGCAAAAGTGAGGCAAGAAACTTTGCTTGTATTACATGAGCTGCCCCAACCTATCTGAAAGTATGTGCTCTCAATCATGAGTTATATTATTCATCTTGTATTTCTAGACTTGCGTACATTTGTAATTTGTTTTCATGCTTGTCAATTCTTCTTCTCATGACTGTAAGCAGTTCATTCTGTGAAATTGGAATGGCACCTTTTGGAATATCTTCAAATGATACTGCTCTGTATAGTTGTCTTGGTTTACCAAGTTCTGTTCTTTTTAAATCTGTTGCCTCTGTCATCATTCTGCTAAATAAAAATAAATATTTTGATCAAGGATTTATTGTATTGTTCTAAGCATAGCAGGCATGTGCATAAATGAATTACTGAATTGTTTAATGATTTAACAACAATCAAATAGTGGGTTTCATAATTATTAAGAAAAATAATAGAAGTAAAGGCAATCTTTTAGACTAGATTTTTACCCTATTGCATGCACACTTTTTTGTCTTAAAAGTTCCAAGAGTGCACTATTGTTTCAGTTAGGATGAAGGTTGGCACCTATTAAAATGTTTAAACCCACTGCATTTGTTTGCACCTGTCTTAAGTCAGGAACCTGATGTTCAGTGGTTGTAGTTTGTTGATGTGGTTCATAAGTGTTTCTCGTTTCTCGTTTTTTATATAGATTAGACAGTTGGTGTTCCTGTTTGAATGGTTTTACACTAGTCTTTTTTGGGGCCCTTTATAGCTTGCTGTTCGGTGTGAGCCAAGGCTCCGTGTTGAAGGCCGTACTTTGACCTATAATGACCCAAAGCCTAGGAAAAACCTGAAAATGACTAATAATTGGAGTACACAAAAAAAGTCATGCAAGTGGTGTTTAAACTCATTAACACTGTAGATAAATTAACGCACAAATTTTCTTCAACTGTTAACTTTAACATTTAAAAAGGAGGAATGAAAGCTAAAATAATGCTTTCATTTAAAAGACTTAATATTTCGGCATACCATGAGCCAACACATTAAGGCTGCATGACTACCATGTACCATAATTTCAATGAAGATTCCACCAGATATTGAACTAAACAAATAATTCTCCAAAATGGATAATGAACAATTTTATGGAACAGATAAAGGATAAATTTCAGATACTATATATATAGTGTGCACAGGCACTTGTCTCTGAATTTTTTTTTTACCTATATACTTTAATTTAACACAAGGCACTAAACAGCTAACTCATATATTTGAGAAATGTCAACCAGACGCGAACTTCCGTACTGAAATTGAAACTTATGTCGTAAATCTACATTAAATTATCTGCATGTCTATTTCTGTTGTCAGAATCATTCGTAGCTGGCCTTCAAGTAGGTCAACCGTAAATTATTTCGTCTTCAAACACCCTAATGGCAATGTTAATCTCTCAGTGAACCATTAATTATATATCTCAGTTTCCGATTGGTCATTCTTATTGCTAAAAATTTCTTTTTTTAAGTTATCTCAATTTAATATATATATATATATATATATATATATATATAAACAAGTCTAAATTGAAAACAACGTTCAAACCTATGATTGCGTTGGATAAAAACCGCAATTTTTATACGTGCGCATGCAAAACAAATTTCTTGGTAGAGGGGTCTAAATACAGCACAAACAACATTTTCCAAAAGACCAAATGAGTGAAAAAGTATATTTTAACAAAACGCATTTGACTAGCAGGTCGAACAACTGATGTTCTTAAACTCTGCTGACTGCCATTGGCGATTGCCAAATAAACGGATCACAAGATGTAACAAAATAGATCTCATCATTAATTTATTACCAAACAGAAAACAATAAACTTGCGGAAAAGATGGTATACCGCAAATATGAGGTGCAAAAATTTGTACACCATATCCGGATTTCGACAATTAATGTCTCTTCAGTGATGTTAGGAATCCAAACGGTATTTGGAAGGCCATATAATTTACCTCAATTTAGGATAGACTCTTGAATTTTGAAAGAGTCAAAATAGGATGAACGGATCATATAAACCCGAAGGCAAATATAATACAAGCCCAATATATATTAAGTTCAGAGAGAGTCTGAATGGCATTGAAGGAATGGGAAAATGTTCAAAAATAGAAACTTGTTACTCATTTGACATACCTTAAATAACACTTAGGTGATTTATTATCTCGGTATCTTTTACAAATTTACTATCTGGATGATATTAAAGTTTTATTCAGAGAAAAACAAACAGGTTTTTGGGAAATACTTTTTATAATTAATCATTTCATGCAAGCTTAAGATTAACATTGCCATTTGGCAGTGAGAAGACATGATAATTTAAGGTTGACATACTTGGAGGCCTGCTACAAATCATTCAGACAACAGAAATAGATGTGTTATTCACCATTTTGTAGATAATTTAATGTGGATTTACGACATAACAAGTTTCAGTGGAATATATAACCACAGAATCGAAATATAACGGATTAGTCTGCAATCGGATGACATTTTTCAAAATATGAGTTAAGTACCTTATGTTATATTAAAGTCTAAAGGTAATTTTTGTTCAGACAGAAGTGCCTGTGATAGTGTACCACTATCAATATTCATCATTTAGCTTCTAAGGAAGATCCATAAAGGACAAAAACCGTCCAAGCTATGAATCATCACAACACACTGTTAATTGTGTGTTTAAGATTCAATACCTACTTGTTACATGTATTTTTCAGAGACATTATAATTATTTGAACTTCTTATTCAAACAGTAAAAAAATAGACCACAATTGAGTTGTTTTTTATGAATAAGTTAAACTGGTTTATCCAAGATCACTCGGCGTAAATAACATCATTGAACAATCAGTTCTTATTGAGACGTAATAACACAAGCATAGCATTGTGACATAGGATATGTACAGGGAAAATTCTAGTCTAGATAATTATGACATCTTGAAAGGCTATGTTAATTTTTTGCTGTGATGCCTTAGTGACTAGATAAATTCATAAATTTGAAAGTAGTCTATTGTCATTTGGAGAACTATTCTGCATTTGGTGGATTGTGCCCTGCAATTCAGACCATCATGACGTCTGAGAGGGTATTTCTCTATTTTCGTTTTATAGATCGCTAACTTAGGCATCAAAGGCGAAGCAAAAATTAAAATATTCTTCCAAGACCTCATTATTATTTTGACTACCCAGCCTGATAAATTGAAAACAAGCCCATGTGGCTGGGCGTTAAAAAAACTGACAACTATGTGAGTCTATCAAATCTTTAGTTGCAGATTATTTGTCACCTATAAAGTAGAAAAACTGTTTTGTATATTCAACGTATGACCTCTACAGCATGTTATGTTTCAAGCTTCTATGTTTTTGAAGAAACCGCCCGAGGATTTCCACATGTATTATATTTTTTTACCACTTGCAAGTTACCAATTACTTGTAGGAAAAGGTGAAGCACTATAACGTACCTATTAGCATGAACATTAATAAAAGCCGGTCACAAGGTGAGGATATTTATTCATTAGATTCTTGCCAACATATAAATGTTTACCATATGAGTTCCTGTGAAAGACATATAAGTGACTTTAATCAGAGACAGATAAACTATATTTTTTAAAGATTTTTGAATTATTATAACTGATGACGGAGTTTGAGGCAGTTAGAGAAAAAAATCAGACAAGGGTAAACTTCTTCTTCTTTTCTTCTTCTTCTTCTTCCAAATACTGCTCACATTCAACATGATGAATATTCTGGCAAGTTGCGCATGATTAAAAACAGGTTAAAAACAGGATAAAAACAAATTGTTCTGTTGACTTAGTTTGTGGTTTTGGTCACTTAATTGAGACTTGAATATCTCAAGAGACTTTGCTGTGGCGGTATCTGGTGGCAGTTTGTTCCAATCCTTGACGGTGTTTATGAAGAAGGACCATTTCCTACAGTCTTTGGTGGCTGGCTGTAATAGGTAAGTATGTTGTCCTGTCCGGTTTGAGCTTCTTAATTGTTGGTTTTTGTAGATATTTATTCTTGTCTATGGCTACAAGGTTGTTTGTTATTTTGTAACACATGATGAGTCGAGCTTCTTTTCGTCTTGTTTGTAAGCTTTTCCATCCTAATTCAGTTATCATGTTGCTGACACTTGATCTATTTCTTTGTCTGCTGGTTACATATCGTGCAGCTCGTCTTTTTACCTTTTCAATTTTATCTATGTGGTTTTGGTGGTACGGGTCCCATACTGTCGTGGCGTATTCCATTTGCGGTCTTACTAATATTTTATAGGCATGCTCTTTGATGGATTTTGAGCTAATGTGGAGGTTTCGATGTAGGAAACCAAGGCTTCGGCTGGCTTTTCCTGTGATGTTGTTAATATATGTTCTCCTCAATCTAGATCATTTGCAATGGTGCAGCTTAGGTATTTATAGTTGATGTTTCATGCACCAGAGTATGGCCGTGGAGTTTATAGTCCCACTTGATTGGCTTCTTCTTTTTTGTGACTGTGAGGACACTGCATTTTTCAGGATGAAACTACATTTTCCAGAGTTCTTCCCATTTTGCCAGTTTGTCCAGGTCTTCTTGGAGTGTATGGCAGTCGCTGTCTGATGAAATGGTCAAATAGACCACAGTATCGTCCGCAAACAGTCTCACTGTGAAGTGTAGGCCTTCTGGTAGGTCGTTGATGTAAAACAGAAAAGACTGGGTCCTAATACTGATCCTTGCGGTACTCCGGATTCTACTTTTACTTTGTCAGATGTTTCGCCTTCAACAACTACTACTTGGGTTCTGTTGGTGGGAAATTCTTTTATCCATTTGTTTGTTTTACTTCGGATGCCATAATGGTGTAATTTATGGAGGAGTAAGCTGTGGGACACCTTATCAAAAGCTTTTGAAAAGTCAATTATTAGCAGATCTGATTGTTTTCCGTTTTCCATGTTTTTTGTGATGTCATCGATACATTCAAGGAGTTGTGTTTCGCATGATCTTTTACTTCTGAAGCCGTGTTGTAGTGGGTATAGGATGTTATTTACCTCTGCATGTTTCATGATGTTACTGGTGACTATATGTTCTATTATTTTGCAGCAGATACATGTTAGGGATATTGGCCTATAGTTAGCTGCTATGTATTTCTGGCCTTTCTTATATGCCGGAGTGACATTTGCAGTTCGCCAGTCGTCGGGTATCTTTCCTTTCTCCATTGAAAAATTGTATATGATGGTTAAGATAAGAGCAATTTCACTGGCTAGTTCTTTCAGAATCATTGGCTTGATGTTGTCTGGTCCAGCAGCCTTGTGTGGTTTTAGATTTTTCAGTTGTTTTACCACTCCATTATTTGTGATGATTATTTTTTCGCTGTCTGGATAGTTTTCTGGTAGGTCTGACATGAGTTTTTTCTTTTCAAAATCTCGTTTACTGATTGGACATGCAGCGGAGAAGACTGACTGAAATTGATCATTTAGAATATTTGCTTTATTTATTGGGTCAGTTTCTAATTTCCCTTTTCTTCTAAGTGGTGCTTCTCCATTTTAATCACTTTTCTTGTGTTTGATATAGGTTCAGAATCTTTTTGTTGGTCAGTGGCGGATCCAGAGGGGGGCGTAGAGGGCGTACGCCCCCCCTTTGCCTGAACTTTTTTTTTTTTTTTTTTTGTAAAATTATTAATCAGACTAGACTTAGTGAACTTTGCCATTTCCCGGCAGTGTATTTAATTGTTATGCGACAATTCTTAACTTATAAAGATATTTTTCGCTCGTATTTACTGTAATATATTATTGATTATGTTGAAGTCATGTGATTCGCTACGATGGAGTTGATCAGTACGTCGAAAAAACGACACTCAGTCATGCACTTTGAAATTCAAATTACAGTAACACATTGCTTAGTCGGAAGATGACAAGCATGACGCCTTCAAAGCGACAAAGGATTGAGCAAGAACGTATTGACTTCTATTTCACAATTCCACTCAACAGAAAGTAATATTCTATTACACTCTCATGAAAAAAAAAGTTTCAAAGCAATATTATTCACCTACGAAAATATGTGTAACCCCACACGCCCCAGCCAATTAATAACATTGTTGAATAATGATCCCCAGTCAGTAAGCTCTAGATAGATTTAAAGTCTAAGGTACGGACCATTTGATTTGATAGGGCAGTCTGAGATATTTTAGAGAACAAATTTTGACCCTGGTTTTTGCCTTAAACAAAAGTTCTGGCCGTATCTGAATTGAAAACAATTATCCCCTTTTTTGAAATAAGAAAAAAAAAATCCAACAAAATTATTCAGCATTAAATGAACGTGGTGAACAAAAAACGGGCGTAATTTTTTTGGGGGGTTTGCATGTGAATCCCATATCTGACCGGAATGTCTGTTTCGCCGAACTGATATACTGAATACTTTTTCAAGGCCCAACTGCAACCTGCCTGCTGGGTGTGGCCTTTATGTCTCCATTTGTCGACCGTCATTCACAACTTCGTTGGCATTTGATTTTCAGACTCATTTGTAGCCTTTGGTTGATTTGGAACCCCTCACTTCCCTTGTTGGGTGAAACATTTCAACCTAACATTTGGACAAAAATTGCTTGTTTGTCTTTGTTCGTGTCGGTCGTATTATAAACTTCATTGAATAGCCGTATATCATGTTTACAACAAGAAATCTGTGAGGTTATGCTTATTAACCATACAACAAACGAGAATTTTCCATGTCCATTTTTTACTGACAAATCCCACATCAAATATATTAGTACATAGCTTTGGATCCTTTCAATCATTTTATAATAGACAATTAATGGGGAGAATGCGGCATTAAAAACGTCCTATAAAATATACATGCCCCACGTCAGGAATCGTTAAAAATGTGCATTTTACATTTATTTTATGTTTTTTTATCCCAAAAAAGGTTAAAAAAAAAATTTTACTTTACATACTACGCCCCCCCTTTCCAAAATCCTGGATCCGCCCCTGTTGGTGAACGGATGTCCTCGTTATCTTCTGGAGTTATTATGTCTTCTATATACATCCAATAGGCTTCTCTTGATTTTCTTTGGATGGTTTGTTTCAGTTGTTTAAATCTTTTAACATCAGTAGCATGGTTTGATTTCTTTTTCTTTTTATAGGCTCGGTCTCTTCGCCTCATAAGTTTTTGATTTCCTGGGTTATCCATGGGTTTTTGTCCTTAGTCTTGCATACTTTGGAAGGTATATGCTGGTTAGTACTGCTTTCTATGTCTTCTTTGAACATGTTCCAGAGTATATTGATGTTTGTCTTCTTGTTCAGGCTTTCTTTTTGAATTTTGATATATTAAAGCAAATTCATATCCTCTTTTATGCTGTCCCATTTAGCTCTTCTATACAGTTTGATTTTTCTTGGCTTTGTTTGTTTGTCATTGGATTGGTGTTCATTTCTGCATTCACAATATCATGGTCTGAAATTCCTGGAATGACATCAAGTCTCATCATTTTACTAGGACAGTTGGTTATAAGAAGGTCCAAAGTGTTTTTATTTCTAGTTGGCTCTTGTACTAACTTCTCACTTATTTCCCAATAAACTTGAATAAAGATTAATTTGGTAAATCAAAAATATTTCCAACTCAAAGAATTTATGATAGACAAGCTTATACATGACAAAAATGAGTGCACGTCCTTTAATAGGCTGATATCCAGATGAAACTAAACAAAAGAAATGAAACTCTTTATTACAGAAGGTATATTTGGATTGCTTACATCTGTATCTATGATTACGATCGTTGAAGGGTTGATCAATGTAATCAACTGTCTGCTCTTGTTTCATGGATCACGACCGTATCAATTGTTCAACGATCCGATTGTTGATCAATTCAATCATCTGTCTCATCTCGCGTTTACTTGAAGACTTTCAATCGTATCAATCGTATTTAATCGTTACGATAGTTTAAGGGTTGATCAAATTCAATCAACTGTCTTATCTAGTTTTCAAGGGTCACGATCGTATCGATGGTACTCAATCGTTATGATCGTTTAATAGTTGATCAATTTTATCAACTGTACCTATCGTTTTCAAAGGTTACGATCGTATCAAACGTATTCAATCGTTACGATCTTCTAAGGTTTATCAATTCAAATCAACTCTCTGATCTAATTTCCATTGGGTCACGATCGTATCAATCGCTACGATTGTTTAAGAGGTGTGGATCAATTCAATCAACTGTTTCTTGTCGCGTTCAAGACTCTCAATAGTATCATTAGTATTCAATCATTACTGTAGTTAAGGGGTGATCAATTCAATCAACTGTCTGGTATGCAATAGTTACGATAGATTAATTGGTATAATTATTTGAATTGCTACGATTGATCACGATTGATAAACAAATATCAACTTAATCAACTCAGTTAAAGGTTCAAATCATCGATTGTTACGATAGATACGATTAATCTTGATTAATTAACAAATATCAACTCAATCAACTTAATAAAAAAACTTTCAAACTCTCGTTCGTTAAATAGATACGATTGATCGCGATTGATAACTAAATATCAACTCAATCAACGCAATAAATATTGTAAACCCTCGATCATTACGATAGATACGATTGAACACGATTGATTAACAAATATCAACTCAATCAATTTGATAATAAAGAGTGCAAACCCTTGATCGTTACGATTGATACTATTGAACACGATTGATTGCCAAATATAAACTCAATCAACTCAATAAAAATGTTTGGTTATTAACACATGTAGTTTATAATTTTACTTTAATACGCAAATGTATTGCAAGGATTCGCTTAATTGTCTTCACTTAACTTTTGAATTGAAACTGATCGTTATTTTGGTACTAATAGGACTAAAAGAAATTTAATTTTTTTTGTGATTTATCAGAGATACGATCGTGACCCTTGAAAACCAGATGAGACAGTTTATTGAAATGATCAACATTTAAAATATCGTAACGATTAATTACGATTGATTCGATCGTGACCCATGTAAACCAAAAGAGACAGATGATCGAATTGATCAACCCTAGAATGATCGTAACGGTTAATACGATCGTGACCTTTGAAAGCGAGAAGCCCCCAGATAGTTGATTGAATTGATCAACAATTAAACGATCGTAACGATGAAATACGATTGAATACGATCGTAACCCTTGAAAACCAGTCAAAGAAATTACTAGTAACTCTGGTTGCAGTTCTATTTCCCAACCCAAATAAAAGTATATTACAAGTCGATCCGAAATCTAAAAAATAAGAAGATGTACATGGTAAAATCTCCACCATAGACCAAATGACGTAGAAGTAAACAATCTTAGTTTTAGTTTAAAATATTTTATTTACTCAAAGTAAAATGAATTGGACACAAGTAAACCATTGGCAATCATATCACATCTCCTTATTATAATACATACTTATGAAGTCCGCTCCGCACGTATTACAATGTATAACAATATACAATATCAATATGAGCATGTAATATTTCAAAGTGTACAATACGTTACGAGTCTAGCTATTAAAAAAAGTTGAAACGATGATGATGATGATGATGATGATGATGATGATGATGATGATGATGATGATGATGATGATGATGATGATGATGATGATGATGATGATGATGATGATGATGATGATGATGATGATGATGATGATGATGATGATGATGATGATGATGATGATGATGATGATGATGATGATGATGATGATGATGATGATGATGATGATGATGATGATGATGATGATGATGATGATGATGATGATGATGATGATGATGATGATGATGATGATGATGATGATGATGATGATGATGATGATGATGATGATGATGATGATGATGATGATGTGAATGTACCACAAATACACTATTCTGTATCATATGACATGAAATCTCTAAGATTTGACGTTTTGTTCATACCAGAGGCTCTGATTACCAGATGTTAGTAACTTAACATTCAATATAAGGTCATCAGGGAGCCATCTTAGATTGTTCATCAGAATTTCTATCTGGTCTGTATATAAAGAACAGTTGGCACTATTAATTTTGTAAATATTTATTTATAATTATCCTACGCATGCGTAGCAGTTAGTAAACATCAAAAATTTGATGGATAACTGGATACCATAAGAAGAAGTAAGTAAGTAAGTACGGTAAGTAAGTAAGTAAGTAAGAAATTACTCAGTCAGTTTGTTATTCCCACCGAAGAATGTCTTACTTGCGTTCATCTATCTATGAAGAAGAAGAAGATATTTTATTTCCAATTATGGGCCCCAGAGGGCATAAACATTACAACATCAATAATTTTCATAATACAACAAACAAGGAGATAAAAAAAGATTAATGAGAACTATTTAAGTTCTTAAAGAATGTGTAGATAAAGAATCTATAATATTTTTTCTTAAATACTAATGCATTTTAATGCAAGTGTGGTTGATATAAATAACAAACAAACAGCCCAAAAAGAAAAAAGAAAAATAGATATCCATATATGTATAGTATACAATAAGTTGGATCAATTAAACATTTAATAACTAGCCAAAAAGAAAGTAGAAGTTAAGCATATCTATGACTCATCCTGTGTCAGCAGCAAATACCGGGAAAGTATTATTGTTTCCGCTAAAGGCATTCTATTTCTAGAATCAGTCTGTTGAAAACGCAAGTCTCAGAACAAACTGAGACTACTATAACGCAGAACAAATCATTAGGATTAAATGGTAAATATGTATGTAAGGATTTGTATAGTATACAAATCCTTGATGTATGCAAAAAACTCAATAGCATACTATTTCTGAAGATTTGGATAAAATAAATGATTTTCGAGTCTTAACAGAATGACAGAACACGTATTTTGTAGTAAAATTTAACTATTCAAGTGTATAAATACCTATGCATCTGTTTGATCATATGACACTAATGTTCCGTTGCTTGTCATGTTTAATGTGCAAGTTCTTTTCTTTTTGGTATTTAGATAGTTTTAAACGCGGACCTCTAAGAGGACACCTCCATGTTTTGTTCTTTCGGATTTTCTCGATTACCATTTCTAGGGAGAAACCATTCTTTTCGGTTATTATATTTGTTCAACAATCCGATCATTGTAAACACTACAAGAAAAAGTTGTCCTTCTTTTTACAAAAAGTCTTTAAGTTTTATTAAAAAAAAATGTTTAGAATAATTTGTATAAATAATAAGTTGCAATCCTGAAATAACGGATCCCTTTAATCACGTGATTTATTAGTTTTGAATAGCCGCCATCTTTGCTGTTTCCTGTTTGTGGTCGTTTCCTGATTATCCGAAGTGTCGCCAAACGATAATAATCCTGCATAAAATTAAGAGATAAAAATCATTGCACCAAATGCGTTAACCATAAATTTATCACACTCTAGCGCTTGCCTAAATAGTAAAAGATAGAATCTTGCAAACTACGAAGTGGGTGTGAGCACAAGAACACCAGATTTTCGCAGACATGCCGGTCAGAAAACAAGGTGCATTGCATTTCTTTTTTCACGAATATATTATTAATCAGTTCATAATAGGTACAATGTTATGATAACGTTATATTTGACAATAAAACAATTGTAATACGGTATAAGGTCAAAAGTGTTTCACCTATCCAAAATTCCCATTGAATATTTCATTTAAAAACACACTTTTTAAAAACATTGTCAAAAACTAATTTGTGGTCCTATTTCGATGAAATTGCAAATGCTAAATTCATTGATGTAATCAGTTTTTTATGGTCATTATGAAATATTTTTATGAAATATCATCATTGAGAAAATCATTATATGTATACAAATATTGAAATAAAGTGTAATTTTTTCCTATATAGCCATACAATTTTTTCATGCAGAAATTCATATTTGTTCATGTCTTTAAACAGATTTCTCACAAAATATATAGCGTAAATAAATTTTACTTTTTTTGCAAGAAACTTGAGACATTTCTTTATTTAAACAAATTAAAGAAAAAGTCATTCAATTTGGACAAGAAATATCCACAGTAGAATTTTGATTAAAACTATGTTTTTATATGAAATAATAGAATTTCCAAAAGGTGAAACACTTTTGACCTAAGACTGTATTACCTATATATCTGGTCATTGAGTCAGTAATTTCAAGTGAACATCAACAAATTATTGCTAACCCAAGTATGGTATTCATTGGCTGCATGTTTATTGTCTTTTCAATCACATAAACCACACGTCAAAACAAGAGCTTTTGTAGTTTGAATTTCCTAATTAAAAGAACCTAAATTTGCAGTGAAAATACCAGAATTCAAGGGCTTCTGCTTTACTTAAAGTAATTTTTTTCTGGGTAAAGACAGGTTTATAATTAGCACGACCTAGAAGTAGGAGAACTTGTCCCTCTTTAAAAATGGCTTGCACCTAAAAGACATTTATGAAAAAAGAGTTCACTTCTGCTAAAACAAGAACTACAAACTTGCCCAAGTGGCATCCTCGCTAAACAAAACGCCACCAATAATATGAGAAGTATATGATACGTTCGAACAACTGTTCTCACACTCCCTCCACCTTGCAAAATATAATGTACCATTAACAAAATTGAAAACTTGCCCCATCTGTAATAATACTTCTGGATACTTCCTACACTTTTAAAATATCACACTTCACAAAAAAATGTTAGCTCACACCAACTAATTTTGCGGTCGTATATTGGTATGACGTTGGAGTCATCGTCGTCGTCCGAAGACCCATTAGTTTTCGCACTCTAACTTTAGTTTAAGCGAATGGATCTCTATGAAAATTTACCATAAGGTTTAATACCACAAAAGGAAGGTTGGGACTGATTTTGGGGGTTAAAAATAAGCATTTTTGTAACTTCCAGACATAACTTGTGTGTTAGTGTATGGATCTCTCTGACATTGTACCACAAGGTTCCATATCACAAAGGGAAAGCTGGGATTGATTTTGGGGGTAATTGCCTCAAAATTTTAGGAATTATTGGCCAAAAAAGGGGCAAAAAACAAGCATTTTTCTAGTTTCATGACAATAACTTGTGTGTAAGTGTATGGATCTTTCTGAAATTGTACTACAAGGTTCCATATCGGAAAGGAAAAGCTGGAATTGAGTTTGGGGGTAATTGCCCAAAACGTTTAGGAATAAGGGGCCAAAAATAAGCATTTTTCTAGTTTCTAGACAATAATTTGTGTTCAAGTGTATGGATCTTTATGAAATTGTACTGCAAGGTACCATACCACAAAGGGAAGGCTGGAATTGATTTTGGGGGTAATTGCCTCAAAATTTTAGGAATAAGGGGCAAAATACTAGCATTTTTCTAGTTTCAGGACAATAACTTGTGTGTGAGTGTATGGATCTTTATGAAATTGTACTACAAGGTTCCATGTCACAAAGGGAAAGCTGGGTTTGAGTTTAGGGGTAATTGCCCAAAACGTTTAGGAATTTGGGGCCAAAAAGGTGCCAAAAAACAAGCATTTTTCTAGTTTCCAGACAATAACTTGTGTTCAAGTGTATGGATCTCTCTGAAATTGTACTGCAAGGTACCATACCACAAAGGGAAGGCTGGGATTGAGTTTGGGGGTGATGAATCATAAGGGGGTTCAAAAAATTGGGGTGGGGGATTTTTTTTTCTTTAAAATTTTCCAGTTTAAATTGTTTTTTTCTGATTTATATATAAAAGCAAATAATAATGATATGGTTTGAAAAGGGTAATTTAAAATTTTTTAAGTTCTTAGACCACATTCATTCTGTGTCAGAAGCCTATGCTGTGTCAAATATTTAATCACAATCCAAATTCAGTGCTGTATCAAGCTTGAATGTTGTGTCCATACTTGCCCCAACTGTTCAGGGTTCGACCTCTGCGGTCGTATCAAGCTGCACCCAGCGGAGCATTTTATTTTTTATATATTGGGCTGTACATGTACATGTATGTATACATTTTTTACTTCTTATGAACAAGCCTTGGTTGGCAAAAAAGTTTTTGAATATATAAGGGAAAATCCTTTAAATAATGCCTTTTAAATTCATTAGATAATAAATTGTTCGTGAACATGGTTAAATGAAGATTTATCAAATATTAATCATACAAAAAACATATTTCTTGGCACCACTGAAAAGAGACTATGACAGCTTGTTAGTCCCCTACCAACGAAGTTGAAAGGGGACTTTAGGTTTGCACTCCGTCCGTCTGTCTGTCCATCTGTCAGTCCGGCAAATCAGTTTTCCACACTTTTTTTCTTCATGCTTGAAGATATTGATTTGATATTTGGTGTATTGTTTTATCATGACAAGTTACAGATCAAGTTCGAATTTTGTTCGTTCTGATGATTTTGTGCAGAGTTATGGTCCTTGGACTTAGAAAATTCACTCAAATAATCAGTTTTCGGCACTTTTTTCGTCATGCTTGAAGATATTGATTTGAAAATTGGTAAATAGTTTTATCATGACAAGTTACAGATCAATTTCGAATTTTTTTCCGGTCTGATGATTTTGTGCAGAGTTATGGTCCTTGTTTTCTTAACAGTAATTTTACCAAATGTAATACATTGTGCAAAAAACATTTGAGAGTTGTTTTATATGGAAGATTCGTTTATGTCAAGCCTGTGAGTTATATATATATGTAATAGTTTTAGAAAAAAACCAAAAATAGCCTTAATTAATAAGTCTCTCTTAATCAAAAGGCAATTTATCTCAAACTGAATAGTGACTCTCCATTCTGTGACCTTTTGTCCTACCTTCAATTACTGTTAGTCATGAAAATATGAAAGTGTTCAAATCAATATTATACTATTCTTTAATGTTCTATGCAGTTGTTATAGTCATTAAAATTTTGACACCTGCTAGCCATGTGATACATGCTCTTGATAACAGTGCTTTGCCTTTGCGCCGATTGGCATTTCATTTGCGGAAAAAAATCTTACAAAAATTTTATTATGCAAGCTCTTATTCAAGATACAACATTTTAAAACGTTTTCGTTATATTTTACCTATAAATTGGCGCAAAAGCACCATTTATTTTTGACGTAAAAATGAAATAGAACCTTGTGGCGCAAATGAAATTCTGCTTTTTAGCTCACATGGGCCAAGTGAGCTTTTCTCATCACTTGGCGTCCGTCGTCGTCCGTTAACTTTTACAAACATCTTCTCCTCTGAAACTACAGAGCCAAATTTAACCAATCTTGGCCATAATCATCATTAGGGTATCTAGTTTAAAAAATGTGTCGGATGACCCCGCCTGCCAACCAACATGGCCGACAAGGCTAAAAATAGAACAAAGGGTTAAAATGCAGTTTACAGCTTATATCTCTGAAACTAAAGCATTTAGAGCAAATCTGACATGGGGGTAAAAATGTTTCGCAGATTGAAATCTATCTGCTATGAAATTTTCCGACGAATCAGACAACCTGTTGTTGGGTTGCTGCCCCTGAATTAGTAATTTTGAGGAAATTTTGCAGTTTTTATACGACCGCAAAATTTTTGGTATCACGTCGTCGTCGTCGTCGTCCGAAGACATTTGGTTTCTAGACAATAACTTTAGTAAATGTAAATAGAAATCTATGAAATTTAACACAAGGTTTATAACTTTAAAAGGAAGGTTGGGATTGATTTTAGGGGTTATAGTCCTAACAGTTTAGGAATTAGGTGCCAAAAAGGGGCCCAAATAAGCATTTTTCTAGTTTCCAGACAACAACTTGTGGAACGGTGTGTGGATCTCTCTGAAATGATACCACAAGTTTCCAAAGGGATGGTTAGGATTGGCTTTGGGGGTTATGGCTCAAACCATTTAGGAATTAGGGGCAAATAAGGGGGAAAAACAAGGGTTTCCTGGTTAATGGACAATTAAAAAAAAATACAATGTTATGTTTGGATTACCTCCCTTACACTGCTTTTAAATTATGTATAAAGAAATGTTGTATTGTCTTGAGGTGATTAGCTGTTAATTTATTTTTAGAAGTTACTATTTAAAAATGCTGATTATATTTTAAGGAATATTAATTTTAGCCATGATTATCTATGTCATTTTAAGACTTTTATGATGTATTTAAATGGATAATTATGGTTCCTAACTCCATTGGAAATTTGAATTGAGATTATGACCATATCTTGAGGGAAAGAATTTTTTTTATTTCATAAAAGCCAAAAAAGGGGGGGTGTCAATTTTTTTTTTGGGGGGGGGGGGGGGGGGGTCAATTCGCAACAGCATAGTGTATTGCACAAAAGCAAAAAATTGAATATAAATTCACATCATATAACCAATTCTAAGTTCTTGGACTACAGTTATTCTGTGTCAGAAACCTATTATGTGTCAAATATTTAAATACAATCCAAATTAAGACCTGTATCATGCGCGAATATTGTGTCCATTTTTGCCCCAACTGTTCAGGGTTGGACCTCTGCGGTCGTATCCAGCTGCGCTCAGTGAAGCAATTTATTGGTTATTATCTTGAATATTAATATAGATAGAGAAAAACTGTAAATAGCAATAATGTTCAGCAAAGTAAGATCTACAAAAAATCAAATTACCAGAATTGTCAATTGACCCCTTAAGGAGTTATTGCCCTTTATATGCAATTTTTATACGCCTGTTTACGGGACCTATTATGGTATACCGTTGTCCGTCTATCCGTCCGTCGTCAACATGTCGGACATTAACTCAAAAACGCTTAAAATAATATGCATGAAACTTTGGTGAATTGTTTATATCTATTGACGTGAGCTCCCTTTCGTTTTTTTTTATAAATTTCAGATTTACCGTTTCTGAATTTTGGGGTTTTATTCATAAAAAAGGGGGATCTTCCAGTTTTCTGACAATAACTAAAAAATGCTTTCAGCAGTTCTCTTGAAACTTTGGTGAATTGTTTATATTTGTTGATGTAAGCTCCCTTCAGAATTTTATAAATATTAGATTTTACATTTCTGAGATGGGGTTTTATTCATTAAAAAAGGGGGGAGTTTCCAGTTTTTGGACAATAACTCAAAAATGCTTTAAGCAGTTGGCATGAAACTTTGGTGAATTATTTATAGCTATTGATGTATCTCCCTATTGATTTTCATAAATTTCAAATATGACATTGAGAAGAAATTGAACTTTATTTGTTTATAGTCTGACAACAGATTTACTAAGGCTGAGAAAAAAAAATCTGTGTTTCCCGTAACCCGACCGACCCTGTTTTTTAGCCCCCGACCCTAATTTTTTTATTGGATCTTCAAAAAAAAAAAAAAAAAATGGTATCAACCGAACCTGTTTTTGACACGGGCTTCTGTTAATCGACATAATTATTTATCTAACTTGTTTCTACTGGCACAGAAAGCCAGTTGAACATTTTATTTATGTCAAAAGGTATTCCAAATAGGTTAAAATCCAAGAAATTTGCACAGCAGTTGCTTCAAAACATTGCAAATTGCCGCACTTCCGGTATTTAAAACTAATTACGGAAAACCATGATAATTTTCCGGATTTCGTTTACAATGTCAAAAAAAAAAAAATCCGACCTACCAATCCTATTTTTCAAAATGATGAAGTTCTTTGACTACATTTATTCAGAAACCTTTAATATGTCAAATATTTAATTACAATCCAAATTCAGACATGTATCAAGCTTGAATATTGTGCCCATTTTTGCCCCAACTGTTCAGGATTGGACCTCTGTGGGTGTATCCAGCTGCGCTCAGCGAAGCAGTTCATTTGTAAATTTTGTAATCTTTTACAAAAATCTTCTCCACTTTAAGTGACTTAGTCTACTGGGCAAAATAGAATTAAACTTAGCCACAATTTTCAATAGGGTATCTTGATTGAAAAATGTATCCGATGACCCTGTCATCCAACCAACATGGCGGCCATGGCTAAAAATAGAACATAGGGGTTTACTATAGAAGTCTATGACTATGGGAAAATTGTAAAAAAACAATTTCAAATGGTCACAACTTGAAAACTAATTTAAATAATGATAAGGGGTCTTCAGTAACTATTGTAAGATTACAATGGGATGACCTGCTTTTAACTTAACTACTGGGCCAAATTAAACCAAACTTGGCCTCACTCATTATAAGAGTATCTGATACTATTTATTATGATTTTAACCTTATTTTACGTGATTTCCAAAACCACAGTAGATACAGGTGAGTGACACAGGCTCTTGAGAGCCTTTTGTTTCTCAAAAATTAGCGCAAATGCAATGTACCCTCAGATAATCAAGCCACATGTAATTCTATGTACCTGTAAAAATTAAGTTTTTTTTTTTATTTAGACATGTTAGAATAATTGATAAAGCAATTTTATATACTTATGTACATGTATACCTAATAGTATTTAATATCATTTCCCCTAAGAACTAAATTAGTCATTATTCATGTTAATAGTTGAAGTAACATACAAATATCATTCTTTATTTATAAACTGAATCATGCCAAACAAATAAAGTTAAAATAAATTTCCCATCAACCAATGTTTTACTTCAAATTTAAAGTTAATTCTGTCAAAAGAACCATGAAAATTTCAATTGACCAGTATTTGCCAGGATTGGATATCTGATTGTTTATAATATCTATCCCTTGCAATGGAATATGAAGGTTTTCAGAGGGATCAATCTAGCAACTAATTCAAATACTGGAAAAGTCATTAATTAAAAGTTGCTGCCATTGATCTTAACAAATCTGCTTATGAATATTTTTGCTAAAATCCAAACATGTACAGGCTTAATAATCAATAATCACCTGTGTACAGGTTCATTTTTTATGGGCTTCTGTTGCCATTGATTTTTAACTAATTTGAATTTCACTGATAGACCATAATTTTGGGAGAGATCCATTTGCGCCAAAAATGCGTCCTTTTGCGCCACAACTTTTTTTATCCAATGCTACGTTTGCGCCACCTGTTTTAAAATTACATAGTTTCATTTGCGCCAATTAAAAGAAAAATGACTTCCCTCCTCCTTTATCAGGGCTTGGGACCGGCAGTTTTCACTGGCGGAGTTAAAGTCATTTTAAGTCATTTAATGGAATACTTTAAAACATAAAACTATGTACAGTCGGACATCATATATATTTGATTAAGAAGTTAAAGGCTGGAATTTGTAACTCATTACACATACAAAGTCTCTGTGGCTGAGTTCACCTTCTGCATATTTCATGTACTTTTGAACGGCAAAAGTTTCCTTTTCTGATACATGTCTAGTTCTAACTATATATATATATTAATCTTTAATATGTACGATCAATATGTGTTCAGGTAAATTGGCGCAAATGAGTTCCAAATATTGGCGCAATTGATACATTTGGAAAAAAAAATTGGTGCAAATGATACCCCTGAAACACAGTAATTGGCGCAAAAGGACTGCTGCCATTATTTTTATCTAAATAAAATATCAACTGAATGACTAACACATGTTCTGTTGATCATCGGGTCATAATGTCATTATGACCCTCTGGGACACTTGAAAAATATTACCTTTGATACCATAAACTCAAAGTGAGTTAAAATAGTTTTATATTCTTATCTTTAAAATATAGTAAAAATGTGGTTAGTATAATGATGCAGTCTAATAAAATATACTGATTTACAATTGACACCCACACTTAGACATTATTCAATCCTGAGGTGCATGCTTATAAATTATGAAGTTTGTCCTTAAAAATGATAGGCTAGTTCACTTTGTTGTAATGTAAAATTCTGTAGTTGGAGTTTGTGTATTCAAGTAAACTACCTTTTTACTCTTGAAACATTACACCTGTAAAATTCCAGGTTGGCCTGTGGATTTAAGAATGTACATGTACAGCCCCCTGCCCTGTGCTGTGAAAATTTGAGTGTGAAGACAAAGAGATTTAAAAACTGTGTGCGGAATTTCACTTTGTAGTGTGTAAATACCTGCAATTTGAATCATAATTCCACTATAAATATTTATATTTAAGATAAATGTATTAAATTTGGACAATTTAGGATACAATGTACAATGTATCTAAAGATTATACCTGCTGTAAACATGGTAAAAGTAACAATGTTGAGTTTATTAAAATTTGAGAGGTCACTGCAAACATGTGCATGTTGCTTTCAAACAAGATGTTTAATATTACTAGGTAACTTTCTTGTTTTCTTCTGTTCATAGATGCCCACAGGGCTTTAGAATTGTTAGAGGACTACCATTCGAGGCTTAGCCTACCACAGGACACTCAGCTCAAGGTTGCCATAGAGAAAGTCATAAGAATTTTCAAAAGTCGCCTATTTCAGGCACTTCTTGGTATGTTAAATAAATATTTACACACATGCATTAATGTCATTTACTGTTGTTGTACATTATAATTTATTGCTAACCAAATGAAAGTTTTCCACAGTCATCTCCTCTTAGTCAAGGTATTTAAACTTTTGTCAGTTCACTTGACCCATTGAATAAATACAATAACTATTGTTCACTGTGTAGTTTATTCACTTGGACCTTTAAATTTCTTTTAAGGGAAATCCATCATTCATTTATTAATTTACCTGACCAAAAAAATGATCTTCTTAGTAGATGAATATACATGTTTCAACTCACAAAACTGCATGTGATATTGTATTTATTCAATATCAATAATATATTTTCAATCTGTTCAATATAAACACTGATCTAATTATATCATGATTTCTGACCAAATTTTTAGTATTGTTCCTATTGAAATTTGCATTTTTTTAGGTGTTTGTTTATAGAACACATTTAAGAAGGCCTTGATTTAAATGTTGTCATTTTCCAGTTTTCATTTGTCAAACACATTAAAAAAATATTTCAATAGGTACAATAATTAAAATTTTGTAAGAAATCAACTTTTAATGTTTTTAGATTGAAAATGTATTATTGATATTGAATTAATACAACATCACATGCAGTTTTGCGTGTCCTTATTGAGTATTTGTACATGTATTTTCATCATTGCAATCTACATTTTTTGTTCAGGTAAATTAATCAATGAGTGATGGATTTCTCTTAGAAGAAATTTAAAGGTCCCATTGAATAAACTCCACCGAGAACAATAGTTATTGTATTTCTTAGATGGGACAAAACTTACAAAAGTTTAAATCGACAGTCAGTGAACCTGGAAAAGTATCATTTCTTTCCCAATAACAGAATGGAAGCAAATTATTATTTTGTTTATGAATATATACTATATTTTACCTATATATGACATGTAAGCCCTGGGAAGTTACACTGGTGTTCGGTAGACATATTAGAGGTTCATAAAACCAAATTTATTGTCCCCCGCGTAATGCGTTGCGGGGGACATGGAAATACTGATCGTCCGTCCATGTGTCCGTCCGTCCGGTCTTGTTAGCACTCTACCAGGTACAATTCTTTGCCAGATTTTTATAAAAAGTTTTATAATGGTGGCTGATCAACTTTTTTTAAAAGAGTTATGCCCCTTGGAAATATTGAATTTATCGAAAATGTCCTCGTTAGTGCTCTCACGGGTGCAATTCTTGCCAGATTTATAAAACTTATACTATATGTTGTTATCAGCAATATCTCGGACAAGTTCAATAATGGTTGACGATTAACTTTTTTTTTAAAGAGTTATGCCCCTTGGAAATATTAAATTTATGGAAAATGGCTTCGTTAGCATTCTCACGGGTACAATTCTTGCCAGATTTTTATAAAACTTATACTTTAGGTTAATATCAGCAATATCTCGGGACAAGTTCTATAATGGTGGCCGATCAACTTTTTCGAAAAGAGTTATGCCCCTTAGAAATATTAAAGTTATGGAAAATGGCCTCGCTAGCGCTACAAAAATTAAGTGTTTTATTTAGTTATTGCGACCTTGTATTTTCGAAAGATAAAATATGTGCAACGCGGGGGACATTGGAACTCTGTTCTTTTATTAAGTTTGGATTTGAGCTTTAGTAATACATGTACCAACATTTCATTTTTTGTATAATTTAGTTTGTTAAAGTCATGTATGTGTCTTTTATAGAAACAAAATAACATTAATAATTTCTATGTCCCCTTCCCCCTATATTTTAAATGTTAAAGATAGACCACTCTTCATTTTTTAAGAAAGATTCTATGCAATCTGGCCATTTGAGTTTTTGACTCAATTTTTCTACTACCACATTTTTACAATATGTACAGGAACCACATTAATTTATTTTGCATGATACACAATGATAAAGGCGTATATTGAATTCTTGTTAGATCTTTTAAACTGAATATTGTTGCATATAAAAAACAAGTGTTTTGATATCATAAATAATTACACACACATACAAATTTACTGGTACTTGCTTAAATTTTCCAATTTAGTAACAGTTACTGCATTACAAATTTATGATAACGGTTTTATATTTTGCAAAACAAAGCAAAGACTGAAGTACTTAATATGGCATGTGCAGTGGCTAAAATTATGTGAATGGTTGTAACCCATTAAAATGAACTATTTACAGTTCCACACCAGCATTACAAATGTACCTGGTATGGAGCTAATTAAGAATACAAAGTGTAATACCAATTTGTGTTTTCAGACATACAAGAATTCTATGAGTATACATTGTTAGATGACACAAAATCTACACAACAGAAGACATTGGAGACCTTACAGATAGCTAACAAGTGGGAGAGAGAACCACCTATCACTAATGCTCATCCTAAACTTGAGGTTCTTATTGTACCTAGAAATGTTTTTTTATGCTTTTGCAGGAAGCTGAGATAATAATATTATAATCTCAATATGTTACCAATTTAAGATGAGACAAAATTTGTATCTTATTTCTTTTCACATATAGTTATCGATAAAAATGAGCAGAACTGTCTTATAAATTGAAGGACATAGCTACATATATCAAATTGTCAAGTGTGTTTTGCAATTGCTTAATAGTTACAGTTGAAATAATATTTTTTTTGTTGTGAAAGAAATGACTTTACCACAGAATCATTTCCTCTTGCATTTCTTGGTCAAGGTATTTAAACTTTGTCAGTTCTCTTGTCCCATTGAATAAATACAACATCACATGCAGTTTTGTGAGTTGATACATGTATTTTCATCTACTTAGATGATAATTGTTTTCTTCAGTCTAATTAATCAATGAGTGATGGATTTCTCTTAGAAGAAATTTAAAGGTCCAAGTGAATAAACTACACAGAGAAAAATAGCTATTTTATTTATTCGATGGGACAAGAGAACAGACAAAAGTTTAAATACCTTGACCAAGAGGAAATGTTTCTGTTGAAAAGTTCTTTGATAATAATTCATATTGAACATAATTTTTGGCTATTTTCTAGTTTAATTTCAGTTTTTGATCCAAATTTTTGCTCAAATACATGGAAATATTTACATATGTGATCCTGGAACTGAAAAACAAAAGAATTTAAGAAATATAATGACATTGATTTCACTTGAATGCTCATGAAAAGCTGTATATTTGAAAATGAATATTTTTTTTCATAAAGAAAATACTTTGGTTCTGTTAAAGATAGATAAAAACATAAAAAAAATATATATATTCTGCAAGGTGAGTGATTTTGGCTCTAAGGATGCTTTTAGTTGAACTTGTCTCTCAATAATTTACCTCATTAGGTTAATTTATCACAAGCAGACAATTTAGACTAGGTGATGATGAAATTGAACATGAACCAGTAATCACTGGAAATTTAAGACTTGTAAAAAAATCATGTCAATGTAAGAATATGCTCAACTGACAAAATGCTAAGCTTATTTTGTAATGGTGCTTTCTTAATAAGATGAGAATATTTATCTTGGTAAGATTGATGTCATTGTTGAAGACCATACATTGACATTTTTCACTTGTTTGTTATGGGACATACTGTTTCATGCTCATTTAAAGATATTATACCTTTTATAAAGTCCTGGCATGGCGGTCATAAAAATTTCAAGCATAATTATCGTACTACGACTCAGAAATCAAATTATTTATACCAATGATCATCTGACTTTCAGAAGTTTTATTTTGCAAATTTATGTTTATAGAAAACAGCTTCACCTCCTGATGAAGAGTTACCTCCCCCTCCACCAGAGTTACGAGATAAACAGGTTGATCAAAAGACGAATGCATTAGCTTCTGTGTCCCCTGTCAAACCACCAGTTGTTACCACATACCATGAAGATGATATTGATGGCAGTCTTCCACCACCGGTAAGTACAGATATTTCCTTGTCCTTAAGTTACTCACCATTATCTTACTACATTGTTGTATCAGCAATTCCTTTAGATTTCTGTGTCACGGGCCATTTTTATGGTTTTTTAACGTACCCATGTTCTTTATTTATTAGGTTATTAGATATTCACATGACGTCCTACTTTTGTGTCTATTTCAATACTGTAAATTCAGTAGGTTATTAGATATTCACATGATGTCATACTTTTGTGTCTATTTCAATACTGTAAATTCAGTAGGTTATTAGATATTCACATGACGTCCTACTTTTGTGTCTTTTTCAATACTGTAAATTCAGTAGGTTATTAGATATTCACATGATGTCATACTTTTGTGTCTGTTTCAATACTGTAAATTCAGTAGGTTATTGGATATTCACATGACGTCCTACTTTTGTGTCTGTTTCAATACTGTAAATTCAGTAGGTTATTAGATATTCACATGATGTCATATTTTTGTGTCTGTTTCAATACTGTTAATTCAGAAAAAATTGGATGCATTTCTGTTTGCAATTGTTCAACAATGGACTAAAAGTGAAAGATTAATGATTGCAATTTCAGAAAAAACCTGTCAAAATTGTAACAAAATGCAAGTTTATGTACAGAATGATATACAAAAATGTTTTATACATATGTTCAGTTGTGACTATCAATCACAGAGGTTTGCTGTACATATGTATTGAAATTTATTTTACTGTTCTGTTGTAAAAATGAAATTGATAGTGAGTCTGAGAAATATCCAAATTGCCTCTTTTTAATCAAATTGTTACAATTTGCTGTGTTAAGATTTCTGATTAGTTCATATCTAAATAATTACTTCTTGACAATAGTTTTTGTAATGTTTTATTTATAGCCATATATCTCAGTTGCAAGAATATATATAAGGCTCTGCATCTTCATTGAATTTCAATTACTTTGGAAATTTTACAAATGCTTGTTTCCTGATATGAGTGTTAATGTAGATATAATTCTGATAGACAGTATTTGTTATTCCACTGATAAAATTAAAATAGTGATTGCTTTTTCCACTGATAAAATTGAAATAGTGTTTTGAGGAGTTGGTATAGACTTGGATCAACTTTTTATGCCCCCGCCATGGTGGAGGAGGCATTAAGTTTTACCCTTGTCCCTCTGTACGTCCCAAAATTGGTTATTGTTCTCTAACTTTAGTTTTTCTCAACCAAATGTTATTAAATTATACACAATGCTTATTACCACAAGACACAGATCAAGTTTGAATATTGGTGGCGTCACTTTTACCGTTCTAGAGTCATGTCCCTTTACCTGTGGAAAAATTGCTGAATTTTTCGTTTCCGTTCTCTTACTTAAGTTTGCCTCAACCAAATGTTGTGAAACTTTTACACAATGCTTATTTTCACAAAACACAGATCAAGTTTGAATTTTGGAGGAGTCACTTTAACTGTTCTAGAGTTATGCCCCTTTACAAATGGAAAAATTACTGAATTTTTCGTTTCTGTTCTCTAACTTTCATGACTTTAGTTTGCCTCAACTAAATGTTATGAAACTTATACACAATGCTAATTACCACAAAACACAGATCAAGTTTGAATTTTGGAGGAGTCACTTTAACTGTTCTAGAGTCATGTCCCTTTACCTGTGGAAAAATTGCTGAATTTTTTGTTTCCGTTCTCTTACTTAAGTTTGCCTCACCAAATGTTGTGAAACTTATACACAATGCTTATTACCACAAAACACAAATTTTGGTGAATCGTTTATATCTATTGAAGTAAGCTCCCTTTCGATTTTTATAAATTTTGGATTTTACGTTTACAAGTTATGAGATTTTATTCATAAAAAAGGGGGGATTTTCCAGTTTTTGGACATTAACTCAAAAGTGCTTTGAGCAGTTTTCATGAAACTTTGGTGACTGGTTTATATATCTATTAAGATAACCTCTCTTTAGTTTTTTATAAATTTCTGATATGACATTGAGGAGTTATGGAACTTTATTCTTTGAAAAAGCAACGGGCGTATCATGCGCTCATGGCGTAGCTCTTTATTGGTTAAGGTATATGTAGTTACCATGAAGTTGTGGTTAATTTGACTTGATACTTGTTAATGTGATTAGACTATTTGTATATCTGCCAAATTACTGTTTTGACCCTGATTTCACAGATTATTGCACATGTAAGTATGATTGTGTGAGGTGTGTCCTATTAATAACATACTAATATGCATATCAGAACTGCAAATGTTCAATAGAATACAATAAAATGCATGTAATCAAATAAGTGATCAAAATTATGGGACTTGACACCATCTTTTTAACTACTGACATAACCTCTGAGGATAGGCAAGTGACCCTTTTATATTTCTAAATATGAATAGATAATTATATGTTTTCTGCTCTTCGGTCGTGTTGTTGTCTCTTTGACACATTCCCCATTTCCATTCTCAATTTTAATTATAGCAGTTAAGTGTAAATAGCACATGTATGCAATAATACCTTGATTAATTTTTCGCTTGATTTCTAATCATAGATAAGATAATATTAATGCACATGACTGTTTTCCCTGAAACCTGTATAAGAAGGATATTTTTGCTGGTTGAATCAGTCTGCATAATCATTATAATAGGCGTAATCTGCCTATTGAATCCCTAGTTTCACTTTTGCAGCTGACATTCTTTTCAATGACTACACATGCTGAGTATATATGAAATCAATTTGAATTGATTTAAAATCGGTTTTTGTCTCACCTGAAGGTGAGACATGCGTGTGTCTTTTGAGGAGGCAACAGTAACAGCGTCAACAATTGTTAAGTTTTTAGCTTAAGTCAGTTTGATAGGAACTACTTGTGATAGATCAATGATATTTTTTTCATAAAGTTGAATTACTGTCATGATCAGTACATATCAGTTTGACAACTATTTCAAGGCCCTGCCCCCTAGGTCATGGTCCAGTGACCTGGAATTAATTAGCAATGTTGCTGTCCATCAGTTTGTCTTTTACTGAATTATGCCAACAAGTAAGACATATCTCTGTGTCAACAGTTTATTATGGATTTAATGAGGTCAATTTTTATGCCCCCTCCGTAGGGGAGGGGGCATTAAGTTTTACCCTTGTCCGTCTGTACTTCCGTCCGTCTGTATGTCCCAAAGTTGGTGTCCGTTCTCTAACTTCAGATTGCCTCAACCAAATGTTATGAAACTTATACACAATGCTTATTACCACAAAATACAGATCAAGTTTGAATTTTGTGGGTGTCACTTTAACCGTTCTAGAGAAATGCCCCTTTTCAAATGGACAAATTGCTGAATTTTTCGTTTCCGTTCTCTAACTTAAGTTTGCCTCTACCAAATGCTATGAAACTTATACAAAATGCTTATTACCACAAAATACAGATCAAGTTTGAAATTTGTGGGTGTCACTTTTATTGTTCTAACTTAAGTTTGCCTCTACCAAATGCTATAAAACTTATACAAAGTGCTTATTACCACAAAATACAGATCAATTTTGAATTTTGTGGGTGTCACTTTTATTGTTCTAGAGTTATGCCCCTTTACAAATGGAAAAATTGCTGAATTTTTTGTTTTTGTTCTCTAACTTAAGTTAGCCTCAACCAAATGTTATGAAACTTATACACAATGCTTATTACCACAAAATACAGATCAAGTTTGTTTTTTTGGGGTGTTACTCTTATTGTTCTAGAGTTATGCCCCTTTACAAATGGAAAAATTGCTGAATTTTTCGTTTCCATTCTCTTACTTTAGTTTGCCTCAAACAAATGTTATGAAACTTATGTGCAATGCTTATTACCATAAAACTCAGATCAAGTATGAATTTGGGTAGTGTCACTATTACCGTTTTTCAGTTACGTCCCTTTATAACTTTATATGATAGACAAGCGGGGGCATCATCTGTGTCCCATGGACACATTCCCCATTTATTTTTCTTGCAAGTCAACAATGTACCAGTGAAGTTTGGGGCTCATTTTGACAAATTGAACCAAACTGACTTCTAACAACAAATAATTTTTCCATATTTGGTTTTGGAAAATGTTTGAACTTAAAATGATTTCATATTTTATACTTGACATGTATCTTAAACAACACCAGAGAGTGTGTCATAATGTTTGTACAGTTCCTAGGTCAAAGGTCAAGGTCAAAAACTTTGGTTTCAGTTGACAACCCCATGTCCTATGGTAAAGATCGTGTCCGCTCTATATCTTGAGAACCTTTATGATTTCAAAGTTTATACTTGACATGTATATTAACCAACACCAGAGGGTGTGTCATAATGTATGTACAACTTCCTAGGTCAAAGGACAAGGTCAAAAACTTTGGTTTTCAGTTGACAACCCCATGTCCTATGGTAAAGATCGTGTCTGCTCTATATCTAGAGAACCGTTATGATTTCAAAGTTTATACTTGACATGTATATTAACCAACACCAGAGAGTGTGTCATAATGTATGTACAACTTCCTAGGTCAAAGGTCAAGGTCAAAAACTTTGGTTTCAGATGACAACCCCATGTCCTATGGTAAGGATACAAATTTTTTACCACACATTATTCACAGCAAGGCCCATAGAGATGGCTCCAATCTCAATGATGTCTAGTTCAGAGTATTATTTAAATTGTCAAGACAACAGATAAACTAGAAAGAAGATGTAAAATGATAAAATGATTTATTGAAAATCAACCAATTTTCTTAGAATGAAATCTCAGTTCATCATTTTATCATGAAACAGACAGTTTAATGGCCACAATTATTATCTTTTCCTATTGAGTAAATGGTTTCACAGAAAAAAATGACTGGTTTTGATGATTGAAATTGGATTTAATGTTCTGCCATGTAATATGGAGAGAACATAAATTTGTACTAAAGCTGTTAAAATTATTGCTATTCAAACAAGTGTAAAGCTTTATTTGTAAAGTATGGATTGAAAAAAAGATATTAAGAAATACGTTTATACATTTTTATACGACCGCAAAAAATTTTTGCGGTCGTATATTGGT